CTTCAAATAAAGAACAGTATAGAAAAATGTCTTTATGACTACAGGTGGAAAAGACTTATTTAAGTGACACAAAAGACACTAATTATAACAGATAAGATAAATTTCGCTCTATTAATATCAGAAACTTCTGGTCATCAAATGACACCATTAAGACAATGAAAAGAATGCAGCCCAATTAGAGGGAAAGATATTTGTGATAGACAGATCTGACAAAATGTATATCCAGAATATATAAATATCAAACCATTAAGAAAAACCAAACAAAAAATGTGAAAAGTTTTAAACAAGTACTTCAGACACAAACATAAAAAAACCCGAACGGCCAATAAACGTACTATTAGGTGCTCAACCTTGTAAGTCATCAGGAAAATGCAAATTACAACCATATAACAGTATATACCCCAAGATCAGCTACACTGGAAAATAAATCCATTGGTATCACATACTGGCAAGAACACAGTGCACAGAAATGCTTATACAACGCCTGTAGGAAGAATAACTAATACAACTTGTTTTGAAAAATATTTTGGCATTATCTATTAAATTTGAAGATACACATATCCTATGACTCATCAATTCCACTTCTAAATCCATTCCATATAAATATGTATACCAACATAAACCTGAATACACATTTAACATAGTAGTATTTTTTGCAAACAGCCCAAAACTGAAAACAACTCAAATGACCATCAACAACAAAAATGGGGCATATTCACTTAATGGAATACTATACAACAACAACAATCAACCAACTACAGTCATATATAACCATGTGGATGAATCGTAACATTGAGCCAAAGAAGATAGGAATAAAAGATTATATATGGCACAAGCACACTTATATAATGCTCAAAAACAGAGAGACCTATGGATACTCAGGCATCGAAACATTAAAGAAAGGCAAGAAAGTGACTGCCATAAATATCAGAATATTGGTTACCTAATGTGCAAGGAAGATGATTGCAATCCAAAAAGGGTAGTCAGGGTGCTTCAGCCGTTCTAGCAGTATAGCATTGTGCTTACAATGGTGGTTATACGAATGGTCACTCTACTATAATTCTTTAAATTTGATTTATATACTTTTTTGTGTTTTTCATATAAAAATCATTTAAAATTTAATTCACTAAAATTCCAAGTAAAACCAAAAGGAAAACAAGACTCATCAAAACGATTACAGTAAATTTAACAGGTATCAAACACTTCCAAAAGTGCATTTTAAAATTAAATCAAATGAAATAGAAGGGAATCATTCAAATGCTGGTACAAATTTGCACAGACAAGACCAGCTTTTACATGGATCCTACACCCCTTTTGATTAACCTGACCATGAAGGAGACTAACACGTTCATTTAAATATATATAACTATTAAATGCTGTAATAGACAGGTTCTAAGACAGCCTCCAAAGAGCCCCACCTCTTGGTATTCACACCCTTGTGCAATTCTGAGTGTGGAATGAACCAATGATATGCTTCTAACAAAGAGAAAACAGCAAAAGTTTTAGGATACAACTTCCAAGATGAAGTTACAAAGAGAATGTGACTTCTGTCTTCAACACCCTCTCTTGCTTTCTTACTTGCTCCTTTTGAGAAGTAGCCAGCTGCCATGTAGTGAGCTACTCTGTGGAGAAGCCCATGTGACAAAAAAAGCAGTATCTCTTTCCAAAAGCTGATGACCGAGCTTGGAAAGTTCCCATCCCAGTCAAACCTTGAGATAACTGCTACCTTGGCCAACACCTTAATTGCAGCTTGGTAAGAAACCCAGAGCCAAGGCACCCAGTTACTCTGAGTCAAAATTCTAGACTCAATATATTAAATTTTTCATGTTTTAGGGCATCAAATTTCAGAGTAATCTGACACACAGCAATAGATAACTAATGCAAATGCTTATTATGTGACTTGCACTTTCCATTCTCTCAATATTCTAAGGAGAATCAGTAGGAAAAAAATAAAACTGAAAATTAATTGGCCCTAAATTACTAGCCAGTTGTGACAGTGGAGTACTCATTATCCAAATGAGTTAAATGAATCTTAACACTAAATCCAAAAAGCGTATTTAACTTCTCTGATTGGTATATATCAATGTCTAAACCTACACTCATCAGAACTCCAATTAAAAGTTACAAATGAAATCACGAAGTTAGTTTGCAAAGTTTGAATGTTAAGCTTAGAGAAACAAACTCAAAAGTAGCAATTTGCCTCCTGGTAAATCTGTATTTTACTTGAATAAGTTCAAGTATATAAACTGTATTACAGGTCCTAAGAACTGTAACAATTATATTCATTTTGAGGATTAAACACACAGACAGACTTATATGCAAGAAAATATAACCATTCACTTTAATCTGTCTGCACTAAAACATGAGGTATTACTCAATTATATTTTCTAGACTAAAGCTTATTATAATTACAAATCACTATAGTAGTACCCAATTCCAATTATTGTGAAATTCATGAAATTTAATCAAATAGATAAACGTTTACAATTTGTTACCTAGCTTCTCAGAATTTCTTGTGTAATTAAATCTAAAATACTCAAAGTTCACTCAATCATAGATATAACAAAATCAAGAAAACCAAAATGTATTAATGACAGTACAATCACTGTACGCTGGAGGCACAAATATCCAGAAGTATTTGGAACTCGTATGTTTCTTGGTTAACATACCTACTACAAGAAAATATGATCCAAGAGAAAAGAAAAAAAGAAAAATCAATCACAAAGATTACATTAGATTCAAACTAAAGTCAAGCAAAAAAGTTCTACAGCATGATTCACTCAGAAGTTTAATAACAGAAATATAAAAACACCATGCCAAATCTATAAAATCAAAGTCAGTATCACAGAAGATGTTGCGGGAGGCCCTGGGCCACAACATCAGAGAAAGGCCAAATGAAGATCACAGAGAAGAATTAATGTTGGGAAGGAATTCTCCATTATCTCTCCAATTTCTGCACATCTTGTGATAGCTTTTGTTGTAAATTATCTTTCCAAGAATATTTATATGGCAAAGAGGCTGGCAAGACAGAAATACGGACTTATTCTGGGGGCAGAGGACAGATTTGTTTTCTGACCAATATAAAAAATCTTGGTCTCCCTGCAGTACCAAGATTGAACAGGTCTGCCAGCAACTCCTTTTAGAAGACTGGGGTTTCCTAACATGAGGGTTCCTTTGCTGCAACATAAACAAATCCATTTGTGTGTGCAGCATCCACCTAGAGCCATCTCCACATTGTCACGTGTGGGACATGGGGGTCAGAGGGAACTGATGCAAAGATGAAGCTGATGTTATCAAATGTCTCATGAGTAATAAAATATTTTATCTCCAGTCATCTCAGGTCTTTTGCCAGCATCGATGAAACTGTGCAAGCTAACTTGCTAACCTGCTATAAAGGTAAAAAATTTCCGACCCTTCATGTTTTACAGTTATATGGTATATCCTTATCATACGAGACAACGTCAAGTCTAAAAATTTGTGGCAGGCATCAGGAGACCCCTACAGAAGCAATGAGTAATACTGAAAAATCTCAGGGGCTAATGAAAACCATTAGGTTTCATTAATTGTTGCTTAAAATTAGTTTAGGACACAGATAATTACTAGTCATTTCATTTAAGCCCCAGGTATTTTGAGATTTTAACTTTGTTGATTCGTTTACTCATTCATTATCAGGTACTTTCTTATGTACTGAATATCATTCTCAATGACTTCAAATTCTCAGACAGACAGAAACATGTTATTCCATATATTATAAAAATGTTCAGCGTTGATCTTCAAAGTGTGGTCCAAGGACCAAGAACTTCAACATCCCTGGAGCTTGCTAGAAATGTAGATTGTCAGGCTCCAACAGAGCCTCCCTTAATCAGAACATGCATTTTAGCAAGATCATCAGGCAACTTTCTTCTTTTTGAGACGGAGTCTCGCTCTGTCACCCAGGCCGGAGTGCAGTGGCGCCATCTCGGCTCACTGCAAGCTCCACATCAGGCAACTTTCATGCACACTGCCGTTTATATTGAGCCACCAGACACTTAAACAAATAAATGACTGGACATCATCTTCTTTCCCACCAAAAAAAAAAAAAAAAGGAAAAACCTAAGGGACACAAGTAAATCTTAAATTTATAACAGATAATGTTTGTTAGTAGGCATCTTAAAATCACAACTGAATTAGCAACAGTTGAAAATAAAAAAAAAATAGCCACAAACCATATAAAAATATTTAGCTATTCAACACTTCATCATCCAGTAAAACATCTCTTATCTACTTATTGTCAAAAAGAACAAAGATAGCCCAGAACATAGCATGTAATAGACAATTTACATAGTTTTAAATGAGTAAAAAGTATACTAATTAGACAATTCTTAACATAAACATACCAGGTTCCAGCCAGTTAGAAATTAAAAAAAAAAAAAAGTTTTCGAAGTTATTTTAGCATGCTATCCAGAGAACAGAATTTTGGCTATTTAATTTTCCCATATTTTGTATAGTGTGAAATGACTTTGAAATTTTATAAATGTTAAATTAGAACATGCTCGCTATAAAACTGTTGATAAAAAACTGCCTTTTAACTATCCTCCATGAGTTAGAACTCCCAAGTTCTAAATACATAGCTATGTTTTTACTTGTTTTTGCCTACATATGTTTAAAAAAAACTGTTTCCTACCTAAGGCTTTATTATCTAAATTTTCCTAAGTTTTCTCTTCATGGCGAAGGGTAGGCTGTTATTTAATAAATCTATTTTCAATTCTTTATAGCTTTTAGGTAAGTTACTGTAGTCAATCTTACTGATAACTTTTCAGCACATCTCCACAAAATGATTTTTTAAGTGTCAAGTTGTAAACAGAAAAGAAGTTAAAATAACAAAGCTTAAGGAAACCTCCTAAAAATTAAAATGCTTTTAAAAATATTTAAAGAAATTTTTAGCCTGAAATGCTTTTACAAAATGGGAACAGTTAACAATAGTAAATAAAACATTATGTAAAACACACAAAATAATATACCTCTCTCTTATTTCTTCTTGCAACCTTGAGGAATTCCATAAGAATCTGTAGCTGGGCTGCATGCGATTCCTACAATAGAAAATTATAATTTTTCTTTTAAAAAATATAACTGAGTTGAAAGTTTGCTTTAAAACCATAGCATAAACAGTAAGAAGCAACTTTATGAACCCATTTAAGTTCGTCTATTACTTCTATTTAATCAGTTTTCCCATTTGCTAACTGGTATTTTTAAAAGAATCAATTTTCTACAAAACTAACTCAAACTAACTTTAAGAAACAGGTGTTTTAAATTACATCCCTTACCTAACATGCTGAAAAATCTTTTCATGGATAGTAACAATTCTATTATCTGACTCCTAGCCTTCTCTTCCCCAACTAAAGTAATAAAACATCAAAACAAAATTTACAGTGGAAGTAACATAGCTGATAGACACTAAAATCACTTTCTCCATGAGAAGCTCATTTGCAGAGATAAGTGTAATAAATAGAGATAAACCTATACCTTTAAAAAGTCAAATTTACTATTTCTAGTTATTACCTACTTACTCACAGATGTGAGAATATATTTCTATGGAAGATTTCAGGCAAAATCAAACATCTGAAAACAAAAAAAATTTAATATAATCAAGCGGACAGCTTGTGGGTTGGGAGTAACTCAAATTGGTAATTGAAACAAAGATAGAACAGATAAATGAAAGTATAACAAGCCTTGACATTTTCTGAGTAGCAAAACATAAAAATACAAGTATATATCATTTACTGTTTTTTTTTGTTGTTTTTTTTGAGACAGAGTCTCGCTCTGTCACCCAGGCTGGAGTGCAGTGGTGCGATGTCGGCTCACTGTAAGCTCCGCCTCCTGGGTTCACGCCATTCTCCTGCCTCAGCCTCCCAAGTAGCTGGGACTACAGGCGCCCGCCACCACGCCCGGCTAATTTTTTTGTATTTTCAGTAGAGACAGGGTTTCACCGTGTTAGCCAGGATGGTCTCGATCTCCTGACCTCGTGATCCGCCCGCCTCAGCCTCCCAAAGTGCTGGGATTACAGGCATGGGCCAACGCGTCTGGCCATTTACTGCTAAAATTCACAAGAACCAGGAATTCCAGGTCAATCTGATAAAAATATATAAAAAGAATATCAAAAGCTAAAAATAAAATAACAATAAGAGATAGTTTATGAACAAACATCATTCTAATTTTTTCTTATATACTTGAAATGAAGAATAAAAAAGCCCAGTAGAGCGACTCCAAAACAAACAAAAATATATTTAAAAAAAAAAGATTAATAAAACTTTAATTTGCCTGGCTATGCAACAGAACTACCTGAGGCATTTGTTAAAAACAGACACTGGGTCAGATTTTTAAAATTCTGATCCTGTTGCTCTAGAAAAGGTTCCAGGAATCTATGTTAAACAAGTGCCCAGATGATAAGAATAAGCCAATTAAAATCAAAAGAATCAGTAAGACATAACACGTACTACAAATAAGCATGACTGCCTCACACCCACTTCTAGAGTCTATGCCTCTTGAAGACCTTTGGATTTTAAAAAATAAGAGGCAAAACAGATGAATGTAATTTACAAGTCAAGGCAAATAAGGAGAGATAAAATATGAACTGACAATCACAATAGGATACTCCAATTAAAAAATATAACTGAAATAATATGTTTTATAACTGAATACATTTCCAAAACATAGTATCATGAAGATTGACATTTTTTCTTGCAAGACAAACTGACTTTGACGGGACCTTAGACCCATTCTTCCCAAGTGAGTTAATCTGTCACACAGAACAAACTCACAAGGGCTCTGTCTCAACAACGATGACAAAGTATCCAAGTCTTTCACATTGTTTGTGGGACTCCTTTACACTAGTTATCTCTAACTATCTACAGATTATTTGTCTAGAGGACAAAGACCACAGTTTATTTAAAAAGTAACAATTTTATACAAAAAGTAACTCCAAGCTAATAAAGTGACAGTTCATTTACAAAGGAAGTATACAAACTATCTTCAAAATTATAAATTTAAACACTTCATTTCAATCTATTAACTAGAATATGTAAATACGACAAGAATGCAATTGATTTGTAGAAAGAAGGGGAAAGTCCCCAAAGTGTCAATGTAAAAGGAAAGCGGAGCCAACTACATACACCAGGAATTCACCACATGACACCTTCTTCTGCAGTTTAATCTTTTTAAAGGAAGAATTTCAAGAAAGGAGATGAATGGCAAATACGAAACTATAATTTCACAAATACGAAAGAAAATTATAAAAAATAGATAGTGGAAGAAAAGAGAATGCTTTAAAAAATGCAAAGAGTATAACCAATTATACCGAAATGTCTAGCCATATAATGTTCTACTAGAACAGGTGCGGAATTTTTAACATGAAAGTAATTCCACTACTAAAAATAGAAGTCCAAGAAGTCAATTCTCTACATATCTCTTACAATTGTCAAAACTTCCAAAAAACATGTAATGATCATTTAGCCCAATTCTCCCATTTTCAGATAAGGAAGCGTGTAAGAAAAATAAAGAGAAACGTATTTAGAAAAAAAGAAAGAAATATACATTTTAGTATTTTACTCTCTACTCTCAGTACTCTTTACAATACAGCAAGTTTTTGTTACACTTGTCCCATCTGGTTCAGCCAAGTGTCTCAAGAGGGAGTGTATCCACCACGTGACATGAAATATGCTTCAAATTTTTATAGAACATTGGTCTTCTTTATTTTCCTATCCTTCTCTGCAAATAAATTTTGTTGTATTCTAAAAGAAAAAATTATCCTTATTATGGGAATGGAAGCAACTGCCTGATCAGAGCCTAATATAATTACATACGTGAATTGCGTATTAAACTCTTCTTATTCCAATTCCATGCTTTAGTATCCTTCTGTTACATGGTAAGTTAGATGTCTTTCCAACTGGGAGAAAACACACTGGTCAGAACTATGTAAATAACTAATGTAACTGATTTTTATATATTTCACTATAAATGAGTAATTTGGTCCTTACAGGTTTAGTTAGCATGAGTTCATCTTCCCAAGTACAGTTCACTCTACAATAGTTTCTCAAGAGTAGAACAACTGCCATTTTGATGGCAAACATGTTTTTTTTTTTTTTTACATAACACTTTCCAAGCAGAATGGCATAGGCAAGTTATTTAGAAATATAGAATTGTTGGCTGCACAATCCTAGCACTGTGGGAAGCCAAGGCAGACAGATTGGCTAAGCTCAGGAGTTCAAGATCAGCCTGGGCAACATGGCGAAACCCCATCTCTACAAAAATACAAAACTAGCCCGGCGTAGGGACACGTGCCTGTGGTCCTAGCTACTTGGGAAGCTGAACCCAGGAAGGTCAAGCCTGCAGTGAGCCGTGATCGCGCCACTGCAGTCCAGTCTGGATGAAAGAGCAAGACTCTCTCTCTCTCTCTCAATAAAAAAAAAAATATATATATATATACACACACACACACACACACACATAATAGAGAGAGAGTGTGCTCAGTAAATAAAAACAATTAAAAATTGAAAAGATTCCCTCTAGAAAGTTGATACAAGGGAATGGGAGTAATGGAACTAGGGACTGCTGCTATTTGCTATAAATGTTGTTAATAACGTTATGACATTGTAAATTAGAAGTATTTATTACTTAGATTTTTTTTTTTTTTTTCTTGAGACAGAGTCTTGTTCTGTTTCCCAGGCTGGAGTGCAGTGGCACGATCTCAGCTCACTGCAGCATCCGTCCCCCCAGTTGAAGCAATTCTCCTGCCTCGGCCTTCCAAGTAGCTGGGATTACAGTTTTGCACCACCACGTCCGGCTAATTTTTGTATTTTTAGTAGAAACTGGGTCTCAGCATGCTGGCCAGGCTGGTCTTGAACTACTGACCTCAAGTGACCTGCCTTCCCTGGCCTCCCAAAGTGCTGTGATTATGGTGTGAGCCACTGTGCCTAGCTTAAAATTCTAACCAAAAAAACCCTAGATAACTTTATGTGTTTTTCCCCTACTTGGGTTCAGATTCCCTATTTATAAAATGTGCAGATAACGTTTCACAAACAGGAGTCATCATCCCATACTTTACACAGGATATTACTATTTAGGTAATAATTTTTCTCTAGAAGACTACAGTATTTTCCTTAAATCTACTGTCAACAGAAAACTTCTAAAGGATATTCACTTCTGCTTGTATAAATAGACAACAGACTTCAAATAAGGGTACAGACATACCTGAGAATGCAGGAAGATCTTAAAAAGTGTATGTGGACACAGAGCGTTTTAAGAAATTCATTCCCTAATTCTCCACCATCTGCCTTTTCTTCTTCTAAAACATGCCTGCTCACGAGACATCACTCCAGTTCTCAATTCTAGCCTCTTTCATCAAATTTTCTATTCTCACTTTGTACAGACGGTTGTAAGGAAGGGATAGCAGCAAGGCAGGCAGGCTTGTCACTTATCTTTTACCCACCCAGAAGTTTACCTTGATACAAGCCCCTGGGCTATAAAATTCTCTGGAATAACAAAATAAGGCAATAAAAAATACTGCAGTTTGGAAAAGTGAATGACTCTAAAGACTAGATAACAAATCCTTTTATAAGTCAGGTAGTTCCCAAGTCTTTGTACTGAAAGAAATGAATACTAGTGATTTTTGTACATTGATTTTGTATCCTGAGACTTTGCTGAACTTGTTTATCAGCTTAAGCTTTTCAGCTGAGGCTATGGGATTTTCTAGATAGAGAACCATATCATCTGCAAACAGAGATAGTTTGACTTACTCTCCTCCTATTTGGATTCCCTTTCTTTCTCTCTATGCTTGACTGCTCCAGCCAAGACTTCCATTACTATGTTGAATAAACTGGAGTAGTGAAAGAGGGCATCCTTGTCTTGTGTTGGTTTTCAAGGGCAATGCTTCCAGTCTTTGCCCATTTAATGATGTTGGCTGTGGGTTTGTCATAGATGGCCCTTACTATTTTGAGGTATGTTCCTTCAATACATAGTTTATTGAGAGTTTTTAATATGAAGGGGGGTTGAATTTTATTGAAAGCTTTTTCTGCATCTATTGAGATAATCATGT